ACACACACACAGAATTCAAAGCATGTATCTTCACAAAAACTTGAACCCTGATGTATACAGCAAAATTATGGATACTAGTCCGAAAGTGGAAATAATGGCCATCAGTTGATAAGGGGATAAATCAAACGTGGTCTGTCCACAGAGGAGAAAATGCTCAACTCTATACAGAAAGGAGGTCGGATGCAAGGTGCAACCCAAGCGGATGCTTGAGCAGGGTGCATTAAGAGAAGGACGCCAGGCCTAAAGGCCTCACCCTGGATGGTGCTGTATGCACAAACCAGCAGGAAAGGGGAATCTGCAGGAGCCCACTAGAAGCCAAGAATGGTGCCGACACAGAGGTCGGATCGGCAAAGCTGCTGGGGCAGGAGCGGGCTCTGTGGGTCTCGGGACCCACGGCACCCAGAGCGGTGCTGAGTAATCCTCAGGACCTAGGGGACTTTCTCAGGCTCCCAAGTGTGCACAGCACAGAGGAGCCAGACCCCAGAGGCTGCTCAGCACGAATGCTCACCTGTGTTCTTTTACCTTTCCTCTTGTTTGACCCAAGTTCACTGTACAGGGCCAGTTTCTCCCTTACCCAGTCACCGCTTGCTTCTCCAGTAAGCTTTGGGCACCAGCTCTGGCTTGTCTTATCCAATTCTGGGAGGCAAGAAGGACCTGGCACCGCTCAGCTGGCCACTGCCAAAGGAACCGCCCAGCAGCACTTTCGATAAAGCCCGCACAAGTCAAGCTCCGCTACCGACGTGGCCTGGGTCAGGCCCGAATGGGCACGGCTTTTGCTTCAATCTTAATGCTTTGAGATTTTCTTTTCTTCTCTCCTTCACTCTGCCCCCTACTAGGAGTTGGGGGACCTCCCCTCCTGGAGCCAGAAAGGGGCTTCCCAGGCTGGGCAAGGGGCATGGTGAAAGGGCATCATGTAGGTTGTTTTTATCTTCTTAGCTGCTTGTATTCACCCCACAGCTAAGCCTTGTTGTCCTTGACTTGCTTGCTTGCTTGCTTGCTTGCTTTCTTTCTTTCTTTCTTTCTTTCTTTCTTTCTTTCTTTCTTTCTTTTTTCTGTATTTTAGGGAAGGGTCTACAGGGTGTTCAGTGTCTCACTACTAGATTGGACTCATAGTGCTTCTCCTGTTTACAGCTTCCCAAGTGCTGGGATTACAGGTGCTCGCTGCCATGCCTATCTCAATAACTATCTCAGCATGCCCCAGAGGTGGAGCCAGCACAGCAGCCCCAGGGATTGAACCCCAGCCCCAGGGATCGAACCCCAGCCCTGCACCTGCTTGCAGGTGCTTTAACCTGCTGAGCTATTTGACCATCCCCCCACTTTTTTTTTTTTTTTTGTCTATGGCTTTCTCATGCATTTTACTCTCCTTTTGGAAGTCAGCCTGGCCTCCTGTTTCTCTGTGTGTTGGCCACGATGCCACCACATCACATTACTACATGGTAGCAGCCGCACTGACAAAGGGCACATGACACAGGGATGTGCAGGATGAAGGAAATGTAACTCCCAGCTTCCTGCTTGGTGCTCAGAATGTGAGTTCATGATCTCTAAAACCGAGGAATGACTTCTACGAACAGCGGAAGTAAAGAGTGAGAAGCATTTATGGAGAGAAAGCAAGCTCCATCGGAGAGGGACAGATGGGGCTCGGAAGGTGAGTCGCCTGCTGACTCCGCTTCTCAAGTGTTTTATTGACACAAGGTGAGGTGGGATGGAACTACAGTCAACTATCTAATAAGCTGACAAGGATGGTCCAATTGATCCAATGGGAGGTCACAAGGGAGGTATGAAAGGGGATGAAGCTATGGTGAACCAGTAGGATTACAATGAGTATAGTCTCTCTCTCTCTCTCTCTCTCTCTCTCTCTCTCTCTCTCTCTCTCGCGCACCCACAGATTGAACTCAGGCCCTTGCACTTGCCAGGCAAGCGCTTATTCTACTGAGCCATCTAATTAACATGATAAGTATAAAAACAGCGATCCCCATTC